GGCGGGGCCTTGCAGAGGGGGCGGGGCAGCTGGCTCCAACCCATCCCCCCCCCCTTGCTCTGCCAGTGCTGGGCCAGCAGCCAGCCTGGCACCCCCTGCAGCCAATGCGATCGGCCCCAAGCAACTGCCCCTTTGGAGCGCCCCCACCCAGCTGGGGCCGCCCCCGGGAATGGAGCAATTCAGCTCCTGCCGCCCTCGCGGCCGGGTCACTGCCGCCTGTACCGTAACCGTAACCGTAACCGTAACCGTACGGGGCAGCGGCCCTCGCGGCCGGGTCACTGCCGCCTGTACCGTAACCGTAACCGTAACCGTAACCGTACGGGGCAGCGGCTGGAGACACGGGCCGGGCATGTGCATGTACCCCTACAACAGCACAGCCCTGGGCTATGTCTAGACTGGCATGATTTTCCAGAAATGCTTTTAATGGAAAAGTTTTCCGTTAAAAGCATTTTAGGAAAAGCGCGTCTAGATTAACACGGACGCTTTTGCACAAAAGCACTTTTTGCGGAAAAGCATCCGTGGCCAATCTAGACGCGCTTTTGCGCAAAAAAGCCCCGATCGGAATTTTCGCCATCAGGGCTTTTTTGCGCAAAACAAATCTGAGCTGTCTACACTGGCCCTTTTGCCCGAACAGGAGCAGCATAGTATTTCCGCAAAAAGCACTGATTTCTTACAGTAGGAAGTCAGTGCGTTTGCGGAAATTCAAGCGGCCAGTGTAGACAGCTGGCAAGTTTTTCCGGAAAAGCAGCTGATTTTCCGGAAAAACTGGCCAGTCTAGACACAGCCCTGATGTATCGGACCCTAACTTACCGATGTGAATTCTTTGCCTTGTTTCTATCCCAATATTTTGTCTGGACATGCACGCACACACATACACGGAAAACAACAAGGAGTCCTGTGGCACCTGAGAGACTAACCAATACATGGTATCATGAGCTCTCATGGACAAAACCCACTGCCTCAAGTTAGGAAGTACATTTGGCCCACAAAAGCTCATGATACTATAGCTATCTCTCTCTATATATCTATATTTGTTAGTCTCTAAGAGTGCATCTATGCTGCACCCTTAGCTCGAAATAAGCTACGCAATTTGAGCTATGCAATTTGATCTTAGCTTGTTTCGAGTCTACATAGCACCAAATTTCAAAATAAACAGCTATTCCAAAATGTCCCTTAATCCTCATGGAACGAGGTTTACAGGGACGTCAGAATAGCGCGTCCTTATTTCGAAAGATATTTCAAAATAATGGGCGTGCTGTCGAGATGCAGAATAGCTATTTTGGGATACCAGAAGTATCCCGAAATAGCGCCCTAGTGTAAACGTACCCTAAGGTGCCACAGGACTACTCGTTTTTAAAGTTACAGTCTAACGCAGCAACCCCTCTGAGACAAAGGGAAAAGAAATAATGTTCTTTTAGATCTCACCAAGTACAGTGAGTATTTTGTCCATCCACACACACTTCCTGATTTACACCCACTGCTCCAAAGAATCCAGTTTACCGCCAGCCATGAAAAAGGCAGAAGAAAAGGCAGAAGCAGGAGCAGTCAGGTTTAGCGGAGATGGCCAACCAGCTTGAGGCTTAAGTAATACATCATCTTCAATAAAAGGGGACACTTGCAATGTCTAATCACAACCCTCCCCCTTCCACAGTTTTCCAATCTGTAAAGGATTAGCTAGGCTCTGAAGCTTTGCCATGTTCGAGGACTAGAAGAGAGAATTCCTAACTAGATGACCATGTATAATTTTAAGATTTATCTTGGAAACACTTTAACAGCTTCTGCATGACTAACTCATCCCATATATGCTGGTCACACTCAGTGAGAGAAGGAAAGGGCTTGCATTTCCACTCTCTGGCAGTAATTAAATGAGTGTGTAACAGCTGGTCAGACAGACCCAGAAGGGCAGAACTGTCCTTAAGCAGTCTGGTTTCAGGCTTTGGTGTGGAACGGCAATGGTATTGATGTCTAACAATGATGAGGGTAAGGGGTTAGCACCAATAACCATGATCTTTTGGCATCTTCCTTCGCTGATCTTGGTGGGAAGGGAAGGGAGAGAAAAGGGAGCAAGAGGTAAGTTTTTCTTGTTGACATTCCAGAGCAAAGAAGGGCAGAGTCAAAACTCAAAATGTGAATTAAGGAGGTTAAATTGTGTTTAATCAGCTAATTGAGTAGTCAATAGATTTTCCATCGACCATTCGATAAGGGTCAAGAAACTGCAGAGCCACAGTGTGATTATCTACTAGATTTAAAAGGCAGAGGTTTAGTGGGTGATTGAGAGCCAGGACTCAGCTGTCGCAGCTCATGCCCGGTCCCAGACTCTGTGCCTCTGCTTTCTAAATGTAGTAAAAGCCGGGTGGATTTTTAAAAGCTGCATTTCAAAAAGCAGAGGCACAGAGCAGGACAGTATCCCAAGGCAGCAAGGGTAGGGAGAAGTGACTCAACTACCCAATAAGCCTAGGCTTATCGGGTCTTCAACTACTTGACTAGTTGCTTACATCCCTAAAGTGAATGTTCTCCAACTTTGGTGGGTCCAAAACGCAGTCCTGGTTCTGAATATGATTTTCGCAGTCCCTATACGTGTATAATGGACTGCACCCGATCCCTAGACATTGACCAGTCCTGGACTGCTGGGAGTACAAAATGTAGATCTGAATTTTAAATTTTCAGATTGCTTCCAAGTTTTAATATTGCAAATGAAAATGAAGCACCATATTCTCTTTATTGCCACCGAATTCCAGTCATAAAACTCCCATGTGTATTATAGAAAAGTGTAAGGACTTTTAAATTGTTAACTAGAACACTGCTAGGCAAAACAGCTCTGCTATTTAACAGTTTCCATCAGTCCAGGGTTTCCATCAGTTTCCATCTGCTATTCCATCAGTTTCCATCTGCTATTTAACAGTTTCCATCAGTCCACCAGTCGCTTTGGCCAGCTTTCTCCAGCAATAATTATGACCTTGTGAAGTCATTTAATTGGACATTTACAAACACCAGACTTAATAAAACTGGAGGCCTTTTTAGCTTGCAAATGACCCGGCGCTGTAGATTTAATATTTCTGTCTTACAGTGTTTTCACAGTTACCATCACTGGAACACGTGGTTTGTACTTGGGCAAGAAAATGAGGGAAAGGGGCTTTGGGAGGAATAGATAAA